GTAGAGGTCCTTGTAGAATTCATCTTTCATTCCTGGCGAACTGCAATCAGTCGGTGCATAGGCGGATACGAAGAACAAACATCGATGCTTCTTTCTGTAGCTGTTGATCCATACTGAACCATCCAGACGTACGGTGCAAAGTCGGCTGATAACCGGGATCCATTCGAGAAGTGAACGCTCGGCGCAATCCCAGCACCAGCAACACCGTGAGCTTCGGATGTCGAATCCCTTGACATTCGGAGAGTGAAGCGTGAAGATGAGGCTCGATCCGGAAAACGGAGGGAGATGACTGAAGTAGGGTCTTGTATGCGTGTTTCGGAAACAGCATACATCTAAATGGAAGGTTTCAAGGGTTATGGCTAGGGCAGCTTGTTGACCGATCTGGTAGTGTGCGGGGACATTGAGTGCAGCTAAGTGAAAAGGCGATTTTGGTTTCAAAAATCACATAGCCTCTGGGTGGTTGCCCTTAGTAGTTGAACGCTGAGTGATATCCGATGGGTCTCGTAAACAGGAGGCACCTGGGATTATTGTATCCCTGGAGCCTTAAAGTCACCCATAATACACAGTCGGAGGGGAGTCTTAATCAGGTCCTGGAGTTTATTGATCAGTGCGCCGTTTTCGGAAGGCGTCGTGCGGCGGCTACGGTACACTCCTATCAGCGTTAGTACTGCCGGGGATCCTATCTTACACGCCATCAGTAGGACGTTTTCAGACTCGTAGGTGGGTAGGATTGGTGTCTGCTTAATGTGGTCTGACTAGCAGAATTGCTCCACCTCCCTGAATCCGTTTGGGTCTGTCGGACGTGTAAGCGGTAAGGTTCTCATCTTTTTTATTATTTTACTTTCATTTATTGAATATACAAAGATATAATTTTCATGAAGAGGGAAGCGGCCAATCAAAGGGCTGCCATTCATCACACAATTGGGGAAGTCAGGCGGTGGTGGTGGTTTTCGAACACATCCTCTGAGTGATAATTTGGTGACGCTACCACAGGGCCACCAAAGTTGTGAATATGTTGCCCAGTTTGATACCTTCGAAGAGCCATGTCTCTGTTATAAAGGCAAACTCAACCTCTTCAATGGGGTTGGCCAGCTTGTCTTTCTTGTTTACTATGTTACGAGAGTTCGATATTAAGTCGCTTATATAGTACGACTCCTTCCCTTTTGAGGAAGAACCGGATATGCCCTCGGGGTTTATTCCCGATGGCTTTGCTCGTTTTTTCTAGAGCATGCGAGTTGCGCCTTTTGTCGGACTTGGTATTATCTGCAGACTTAGATCGCTCTTTATTAACGGATTTTGACCTACTCTTACTAATTAGGATACCAGGCAATGGCTCCTCTCCTGTCAACTGGCTCAACGACTGAGGGTCGACTGTTGCGGCCCTTCTTTGTGGGAACCGGGTTGGTACGCTCGCGCTGAAGGAAAGTGTTGCTTCCCGTATCTGAGGTCAATTTTATGTTGCCATCCAGCGCTTTTACTACTTCGTGAGCTGCCGCCAGTATGATATCGCCGTCCATTTGAGAACGGATGTCGACTAATATCGATCTGGGTGTTGTGCTACTTCCTTCAGGATCCAACTTTCCCATGAGGTGGATTTTTCTAGTGCGCACGAAGTCGACCGCTTATGCGTTCCGTATTATCGCATCCACCAAATCGCTATGCCTCTTCCTTCTGGCTCATGTAACCTCTCTTCCTTTAATTTTTTTAAAACACCATTCATCCCCCCCCCCTCCCACCCAAATGCGTTCCACAGACTGTTTCTCTTCCTAGATTGCCTAACTTTTTCTTTATGCTGATCTCCTTTGATAACTCAGCTTGCTTTTCGTGCTGCGTGCAAGGTTTGTATTTTATNCACGTGCGAGGTGGGGCTTCGTTTTCTTCTTTTTCCCTTCTTGATCGTGTTCAACGAAAGGCCACCCGGATAATCGATGATCCTTCCATAACATCTAGTCTGTAGTCACTAGCCCATCGTCTTCGTTGTCCCTGCCTTACCGTTATTACTTTGGTTTTTGTTCGTCGGAACTTGCCTCGACAGTTTCTTCCTGCAACTTTCATCCACACATCCTGTACATAAGCATCTAGTCATTCTTATCAGATTTCAATTCTCAGATGTCGTACTTCTCTGCTCTAATCTTCTTCCCCGAACTTCCAAGTTGTGGAACACCCTCACATTTTCTGTCTTCCCCTAACTTACAGTCTTACACACTTTAAACGTAGAATCAATGAACTGGATCTTATGTGAATGGTCCCCTCACTATCTGTTTAACAGTACGCTGTTTATGGGGATTTTTCTCTTACTGTAACTCACATTATAGGTAATAAAAATGATCTCTGGGAAGCTTTTATTTACATTTCTATTTCTTCCCATGGATAACTCCTAAGCGAATTAAAGCGCATGTACTTCGCAGTGTACACACTTTAGTATGTCTAGCTGGTGAGTGGAAAAGTGACTTTTCTCGTGACATTCGTTATCTGGTAAGGACGCGCCTCCTCGTGGGACTCTGCTTCCCGGGAGGTTCCGGATCCGGAGTACTCCTGACGGCCGTGTGTTCGTCTCACTACTGTTGGAAGCGTGCACAGTCCAGGGCTTCTGGGGATCGGGGTGCTTAGGATAAAAGCAATCGTCGGTTCAGTGATTACATTGTGACGTTTAAGCTTCGAGACATCCTCCGTTGATGTGACATGGATCCGGGAGATGTCCCTTATGTGTGGTGCCGTTCGTTATGGTATTTGACTGCTTCATACGTCATGTGACTTGCTTTGCTATCTCTGTGGTGGTTGGCGTTGTGTGGAAATTGGTTGCCGTTCGGAGATTTTTGGGACTTCCGTTTGAGCTTCCGCGGCTGCTCGGCGATAGTCGTGTCGTGTCGTTCGAACGACTGATCAGCTTTATAAGCTGCCCAGGCTTGGCGCGCTGCTTCTTTGTGGTGACCACAGACCCATTCCACTTCAGTGGTTTTGCAGTAGAAGCTGTAGTGGCACTCCAGTATTCCCGAACATCCGGGATGGGCCCAACAGTAACAGGTATCAAACTGGGTGCTCTTCACAAGGCGTCTTCCGCACCTTACACCTAAAAGCGGATGGGAAAATTGTGGCATGCTTTAAGCAAGATATGTGCAAAATGGGCATAAGCTTAATAATCAAACCAACTAATCCACAAAATGGTCAAAAAAGGTGAAATTTTACTGGAACCGTAATGATAGGTAGGGCACAATGAACGCTTACTACTTTTACAATAATTAGTGATTCTGCAAATAACACAAATCGATGTCATAAAAAAAGTTTCGTTTACTTTTAAGTGATAATAACAGGAAGTTTAACAACGTAAGCAAGAGCAGTGAGAAGCACAACCGGTTTCGAACTGACAATAAATTAACGATGAAGTAAATGGACGGAAGAGAGCAGAAGGGTAAAGGTGTTTTATTAGTGACAATATAGGAACGAGTGTTAAAAATAGACTTCGACTGGGAAAGGGATACACATAGGTTTGGAGCAAGGGTGCAAGACCGCAGGAATTACATAAGGTCGGGGAAGACTTTGATCCATCCCTCAGTTGCTGTAACCCCAGTGCCGCACCAAGCTTTTACCTTACGTCTATGCATAGATATGTTATCCGCGTCTAAAGACATATGCAATCTTTGAAACAGCTCATTGTTTGATGGTTGTAACCATCTAATTAGTCATAGCTATAATTAAAATGTCTTTAAAGTCATTAACTAATATTTATTAGTTAATTAATAATATCAGATCAGATCAGATTCCAGGACTTGCGGCTTGAGCCAACGAGAGCCCAGTTTCTTGCTCGAGTGGGCGCGAATGTCCCCCGTGTTTTAACCGTCCGTTATTCCAGTACTTAGTTCACCAAGGGTGGTTTGCTGGTCCATGGATTGCAGAGTATAATATCGGGACCACTTCTGGAATAAGCAGTCGATTCAAGAATAGAAACGGATAAATTGCCTACATCTAGCACTGTTACGCACTGCTAGGCAAGCGCCTTATATCGACAGACAAGAGTAAAAAAGATGAAAGGAAGCGGAAGGATAAGGGTGAAGTAGTGGTACGATAACAATACCAATAATAATAGAGGAAAGTGAGGAAGCCTCTAGAAAGAAGGGGGTGCGTAAGAGAAGGATGAAGCATGGAAGTAAGGTCTCAGAATCAGATAAGTTTGGAGAACATAGCAGTCCAGCTCTTGTCCAGTCTGGCCTTGAACTGCACTACAGTCTGGGTTGAAACTACCTTCGCTGGCAGTCTGTTTCATGCGGTTACCACACTGAGGGAGAAGTTCGTCCTTATGCTCTTCAAAGCTCGGGGGTTTGCTCAATTTCAATCCGTTGCTCCTGAGGGAAGGGTTGTTATCTATGCTGAGTAGGGGGGCTCCCGTGCCAGCGATTCCTTTCAGGAGCTTGAAGGTCTCCATAAGAACCTGCCCGCAAAAACGCGCTATATAGCGTAATGCAACGCGTACTTTTGTAGTGAAACCACAGGCGCAGCCATTTTGAAGCTTTGGGTGAGTCGTGTGCATGCCTCACTGGACCTTTGGTTCATGGTTGCTTTTTGTATTTCCCGTCTTGCAGGTGACTGGAACCCCCCTCCACGGAGAACCTACTGCGAGGAGTGTCCTACTTGTGCATTGAAAGCGTCAGTTAGTGGCCATGGATTGTTTGGTCTTTTGAAACGACGCTAGTGTTGAAAGATCCCGGGCTGCGTTTTCCGGAGTCAACCTCATGCCAGTGTGTTTCGATTGGATTCAGATCTGGGGCCGGTCACGGCACATTACACTTTAGGGGGAGAAATTAAGCGCAGATAACGTCGGGTTTCAACAGCGCCTTGCGCGTTTTCCTACGATTTACCCGAAATGCCCCTTTTCGATTAACTTAAATTCAGTTACTAATCGCCCGTTCATAATCGAAGGACCAGTTATACTCTTATTCCTCCACTCCCATTTTATCGAACATAANACATAAAGCCGTTCGAATACAACCCTGATTTATGACTAATCTGTACGCAGAGTAGACGTACTATAGTACGTCTTAATAATCGAACCACTTTCCCTTCGCAAACGCCAACAAAACTCTTGGAATATATATCTGTTGCACATTTGTTAGGTAGATAGCCAACTTTAGGTTTTTTAGTGCATATAGTCGTGCTAGAGACACTTAAGGTTACTATTTAGCAAAACCGCGATTTAAAGAGCGAAATTCTGGGTAGAACGCGCTGTTGGAAGGTGGTCCCCCCTCGACCTTTTTCGTGAGAAGCGATGGTGGGGTAATTTCACCTTAACACGATTATAAATATATCGATTTCTGATGCGCCTGAAGCGATTTCACTTAAAAATATGCAGATGATGAGCCAGGGGTATATCCAAATTCGCGTGACAACGACAGATCTCACTCCGCAATCATTAATGGCACAACGAACCGTGAGGTCAGGTCTTGAAGTCTTGAAGTGATTCACGGGTTCGAGGCTGTTGCCCAAATGTCCC